CGACAGTGTATAGTCACATCACGACAGGATGGGAATAGGCCGGACGCTGGTGCGGAGGGCGGGGGGGGGGGGGGGGGGGGGGAGTACTGTATATCAAGTATCAAAGTTGAAAGCACTTCACTTAGTAAGTATGAGAAGAATGAAAAGTAAAGCATGGATAGCAGAGGAGATAAACTCACATACTCTGTACAATGTTTGCAATAAATAAATCTAGTTTATTTCTTACCTCGACACACGTTGCCATTGTCAGGTTCAAACCCAGCCTTGCAAGTGCAGCTACCAATAGGAACCATCCATTCCCCATCTCCATTACAGTAGAGCTTTATAGGGACATCTACTTCTTCTGAGTTTTGGATGCAGATCCCTCGGGCAATAACCAGGGAAGTGCTCTCAGCCCCGGTCATGGTCTCTGGAAAGATTGCAAAGTTTTGGACCACACTTGGACACTTCTTATAGAACACCCTGACTGACAGCAGAGACATGCAGGCTCCATAGTCCTGAAAGGCCAAGTAGAAGCCATTTTTGGAAAGTGGACCGAAGCTGCGCACCTCTGTGTTGACCTTCATTAGACGTCCACCAAAATCTACTTGGGAAAAGCTTTCATCTGCAGCAATGGTGTCCACCTTGAGGTAAGGTGCCTCCATCCAGAAGGCTGAACCTTTGGTGGCAATGACAGCATCAGTTTCATAGTAATACAGATTAAATGTCTCTTTGCAGGAGCCAGGGACATTTGGTATGGAGCTGCAGTCACGCACGGTGAATCGTATCTCCACATAGATGCGCTGTGCTCCACGGCGGTCAATAAAGGTGGTGAGGAGCCAGTTGTTTTGACTGGGCTCGAAGACATTACACACTTGGTAGGTCCTGATGGTGTTGAGATTTTCATCATAGCCACTTACTTCCTCCCACTACAGAAAAAGAAAGAGAGAGAAAGGAATGTGAACAGTTGATTAGTAATCATCTATGATAAGGCTTTTTTTATTTCATTTTTGCTAGTTTGTTAATATTGCCTGAGCCACAGAGAGTTGTACACATATCACTATCCTCCCTGATGCATTAAATGCGAGTATACTTCCTGGATTAACAAAAAGGCATTAGCCTGTTGAGCTATGAGGCTTATTTATCCTTTGAGAGTACACATGTCCTTTTTTGAAAGCATAAACAACTGCCTTACTGAAGTTACAGGAAAACACCATTTTATCATCTAGTCCAGAAATGCTCACAGTTGCAGTAAGTGTATTCCCATTGCATAAGCAATAACTGATTAATTACTGTAGCTGAAATACTTTTAGCCATCTCTGCTATATCTTGCTGGGCACATTAGAAATATTGTGTGCAACGATTTTAAGAATATGCTCTAGTGCTTTACAATTAGAAAGACACAGACTACATGGCAGCCAAGAGCCCATCTGATGGAGAGGCACTTGTGTACAGACTGAACTGAAACACGCTGCAGGCCATTTCTTGCAGGTGTGACCCAGAAAGTGAGTTGGATGAGCATCCGAAGGTCCTTAGGGAATTAACAGTGCGCCAAACCATGATGAAAATGTGCCATTAACATTTGGCTTGAATCACTGAGTGTTGTGGGTATAAATCACAATAAAAAGAACCATAAACTAGAAGCTTGAATTTAGAAAACTTTGAAATAATTGTTCTCCTTTCAAGGCAGACTTGTTTTGTTTATGCATATTCTTTAACATAAGAAAACAGAATGCAGCAAGAAATATGAATACAACTGTCACTTCAGACCACAATAGATTAAATTATTATAGTTGAAGTGTTTACATATTCTAAAACTCATTTTTAGGTCACTTCCACTTCCCAACATAACACTATTATTTACACTCTAAATAATTACAACAGCTTAGTTAGGATAACTGCTTTCCCATGTGCTTTAGCACCAATGATCTATACAGCTGTAGAGGATGAGAAGTTAATCAGACCTATACTAAAAGGAGTGGGCCACCAGTCAGTTCATGTTTCTTGTGACCATATATCTTCTGGTGCTTCTTCTTTCCTCTGACCTTTAACGCCCCACCTGCTCAATCAGGCTGAATAAAGCAAGGGGGAGTTATTGGCTTTCCTCATATAGCCCCAGAACTCCTCAAACCATGGTAAAGATATTCAAAAATCCTGTTCAATAAGTCCATAAAACGATGTGAGGCAAGAGAAACAGGAAAAATGGAAGTCATCAAATTTCAATGTAGACATTAACATAGCTGGTGTAAGGAACACATGGGGGGGAAACAAGCAGGTGTGGGTGGAGTGTGGATATGTAGAGGGTGGAGAGGGAAGATGCATGATGAACATTGGAACTGCTGACATGATAAATGAGTTTACAAAAATCTGAGGTGCAAATTAAAGCCTCCCCTCCACACTGCTGCTGCCTCTTTGCCCACTTCACTCCACTCTTCTCCCCCTCTTCCCTCTTCTCCTTCTGCTCCCCTCTCCCATCTCTGCTCTGTAATGACCATTCATCAGCATTACAGGAACCTGTCCCTTTCAGCACTGCCTGTTCATTAATACAGCCAGCCCTAGGCTCCTCTGCACCCGTCCGCTTCGGTCTAGGAGGGGGTCCTCACCGCCTCTCGTCTAGCCAAATGACCACCATCTTTCATGCCAAAAAGGGGCCTGAGGCATCTCCGATAATGCCCATCCAGAATATGTCTGGAAATTCATCGGCCCTTATAATAATGAACTTTTTTTCTTTCACAGTAGATATTCATTGTCACCATTGTGTCAAAGACAAATAAAACTATTATAGGTGCATTGATTACATAGCAGAAATCTGACCCAGATATGGTTTTGTCATATCTTCCCAGTGTTTTGCATTCATATACTGTTTGCACCTGTATGCCCAGAGAAGGCGGTGTTTGTAATTTGATCCTTTAGTGACAACATATTGATTTGCTAGCTCTTGTTTTACTGCGGAGAGCTTGAGGCTATGTGCAACATTTCTGCTTGTGTCGGTCCAAACCATTTGATTACTGTGAGTATTGACATTTTTCTGTGTTTTTTGGCATCTTTGTCATTTTCCCATCACTAAAACTCATATAACATTTGTATTTAGAAAGCAATAACAGTCTTCACAATTCAGGGGACATACCCTTGTCGCATTAATACATTTGTATTTTCTTACTTTATTCCTGGCCCTTGTACATTATTTAAACCAAATGTATTTCTGCGACATCTCCCTGACCTGCGAAGAGAGAAAGCATCATCACCACTCACCGTTAGGATAGTGGAATTCTTTGTTTCCTTGCATTTATTCCCTGTTTAATCATTTGTGCATTGCGTTGGACAAGAGCATCACTGAATATATTTAGTCCATGCATTAAGAGCCCAAGCACAGATGCATATTGCCAGAACGTTTTTTGTTGTTGTTGTATGATATGTTATAAAATAAAGCAGGATACATGTGCAGGGTCAGCCTAAGATCAAATTCAAGTCTTGCTCGAAACCCTTTTTACTGTTTGTATCCTAAATACAAGTTTCTAAACCAGCTGGTTTGTATCAATATTAACTCAAGCAAAACAAGATAAGTAAGTTATGGGTGCTATATGTATATGTATATGTATATAAATATGGGTGTTTTTCACATTTGCTGCATGGATTTTTAATACGTTTAGGTGATAAGGTATAAAGACATTTCTTAGTGATCTCCTCATGGCAGTCATGAAAACTACAAAGGTGTGAGTAAGTTGAATGAATAACTGGTGAGTCTGGCTGAGGGTGAAAATGAGAACTGGCAACGAAAAACGGGAAGCTGAACCAAAATACAAGGGAAAGAAAATCTAAACCACAAGGAGAAACAAAACTAAAAGATAAACTAAAATAAATAATTGAAAAACAGAGACTATTACAGGTGCTGAATTTTGGGAAGTTATCTTCTTCTCTGTTACTTTTATGTTACACATCACCACATTTTTTTATTTATCACTGACATTGGCACTGAAAACAAACTGTTTTTGCAGATGAAACACCTGCCAAACACTGAGAGGCCTCTTTACACAACACTCATTTGTGAGCCGAACCAAAAGTACTTACTAGCATCACACTAATGGCTCTGCTTTTACCAGATGTGTGGGAGACATTTTTTTCCATGCCCCTGATTGTCAAATGTGGCCACTGTGTGTGTCATTATAGCTGCTTTCTTTTATAAGCAAGTAAGTAGCAAGGAGTCAGACGAGTCATGGATTCAGGGAGCACCTAATGTTGTGTTAATGAGCAGTCATAGCTGGCCGAGCTGGAGAAGAAAGGGTGAAGCAACGGAAGAGACACAGTGATGAATGAAAGAAAGATTTGAGTTGATATATTCAGGCTTGAGTTACCCTTCCCACAGCCTCAGTTCACTGCCATCAAGCCACTCTGCCCTCATAAAGACCATTCATCACAATGATCTCCTGCCATTGCCCTCGAAGACTAAAATAACACAGAGCAGCTCAGATTGCCAAGGTCTACCTTCGAAAGGAGTGAAGCATCCAGCACTGTGCTGGAGACTAGCAGGACACCAAGCACAGCTGGGAGGACTGACCACTCAGAACATGGATGCAACACACATCAAAAACAGGCTAAATGATGTGGACTAATGGGTCATTTGAATCACCATTTTAGTCACCAATCATTTGCCACCACGTGTTAGTGGCTTTACATACAATTTACATTCCTTTGAGAAATTAGTCTTTACTCAAAGTTAGTTCAGACCTTATTGTTTCTTTGCATTCCCTGGTTTGAATGCAATAGTTTCCATCATGGCCTGTTTGTACAATGTTTTAATACTAGCTCTTCATAACTGGTTAAATACAATTATCAACAAGTTGTTAAGGAAATACATAAATGACATCCAAATACACTGTCAATAGATTACATTATTGTCCTTGGGGCTCTTTAAAAGGTCATCTGCTAACCACCACAGAAGTAACTCCATTAATGACCCTTAATTGCTATTTCGATACACACACACACACAAAAAGAAGAAAACTAATTTGTGGTTTCCATTTAAGAATATAATTACTCACTGAGGTTCTTCACATGTTACTGAAACAAAGGTAAGGTAATACGTATCTTATTTTATTGCCTAAGCATCAACGTTTTATCCACGGAGCCCTATATTTTCTTGGACTGGCCTTATTATTGCAAAAAATGAGGTTAAATGAGTAATGTATCCTAAATCCTTACAGTCTTAGAGAGCTAGCTTCAATATTAAAACCAGACAAAACATTCTTTAGAAGTTAGTCCGTTTGGGGCCTAACCACACAGAAAGAAAGACAAGGCTTGACAACTTTTAGCCCATCATTCAAGCTCAGCTAATTCACTCGACAGAACCAACTGAATAGAGCAGCATCAACATGGCTGATCTTTAACCTCCAGTCTGCTATCTGAAGCTCAGCGGAGTTGCACTCCCAGTCTGCTTTTCAAATCCATCAGCGCCAGTTAATTTAGCTACATGCTCAGGCAAACTGAATACTGATGGGTGATGAGCAGTTTGGAAAACTTCTACATCCATAAGAAAAGCTTGAAAAATGCAATAGCATATGGGATGTGTGATTGGCGACTGTGTGTTGAATGACCTGTGAAAGTTATACTCGGAAGATTTGTTTTTACAGAAAACCAAAATGCAAAATGATTAAAAAGAGGATGAATATAAACATACTGAATTCCTGCACTTGCTCAGTGTTCTCAATTTCATTTGCTTTATCAGTTTTTCATCTTATGTATTCATGCAAATATGCATCCGTTCATTCATTCAATTCACATATGATTGCTGATGCCACGATTCAGCTTTAAAATTACATATTAAAAAGAATGACATTGATATACTGTACAGATTTTTTTTGTATTCCCAAATGTACCTACAATTTGTATGATTTAGATATGTGAAGTCTTTGCGCTGGAGATGAATGAGTAC